GGGCCCAGGCCTCCGTTCCCGCTCCCCACCCTTCCCTAGTTCCCGGCGCTCAGAGGCATGAGGAAGGCTCCTCGACCCACCGGCAAAGGAAGGACAGACGTCAAAGAAACCCACCCTCCCCGACCAGGCCCCACTGCCCTCGGGGACCACACAGGACCCTCTCCTGCCCGCTCCCCACCCAGCAGTGGGCCCTCGGATCTGCCCGGGGACCTGTGGCTTCCAGGGACACAGGACTTGTGGTGTTGACACCAGGGTGGTAGGTCACCCCATGGGATGCACGCTTGGGTGCTGGTGTTTCTAGAAGCCCTCAGGGATGGCGCCCCACAGGGCCTCCCTAGGCCCTCCTGCCATCTCACAGAGGGTTCGAAGGTTGGCCGGGGCCAGGCTGGGGCAAGGCAGCATCCACCTCCCCGAGCCCCCACGCCGTTTGACTTACCCAGTGGGCTTTGCGGCAGGATGTAGGAATCCCCCATAGGCGCCGAGAGTTAGGGCTGTAAACGGCCTTTATTATAAACACCAGCTCTGCTGGAGGTTTACAAAGCAGGGCTCAGAAGGTGCAAACAGGCTTCCTGAGGTGGCCCTCGCAGGTGCCACAGGTAGCCTAAGGGGTGCTGAGGGTGGCAGGGGCCAGGGACCAGGCAGGTGGGAGAGGGCCACCCAGACACCTCCTCTCAGGACCACAGTGGACCTTGCCGGTGTCCAGCCCCGGAGCTGGGGAGGAGGCTTGGGAGCAGTCCTCGGTGGGCACCATCTGGTCGGCACCTAGCGGCTGTCTCCTCCTGGTCACCTGGAGAGCCAGGCGTGCTGAGACTCAAGTCACATCCACACTCTGGGCTCTCGGGGTGTCTGTGACTTGCACACTCTGGCTCTGGGGTTTCCACCTGGGGAGCCCTGAGACGCTCTGGGGAGAGTGAGTGCCGCCGGCTTGCAGCGTGGCGAGGGTGGGGCTTTCTGTACTCCCTAGTGGCCCCAATGTCTGGCCAGCTCTGCCTGGGATTCCCCTGCAGACACAGGAGGGGTGCAAGGCCAGGTGTCCCAGGGCGGTTCCGGAGCAAGGGAGCCGGGAGCCCCTGGGTGAGGTCTGGGCCGGGCCCTGAGATAGGGAGAGGGGGACCCTCTGCGGCAGACAGGTGCCTCACCTGAGGCCGGGGCTGGGAACACAGAGGTGGCCGCCCCACCCCGCTAAGCCCCTGGATCTGAGTGACCCTCGAGGTTGGAATGTGTTTACCTTTGGCCCAGCCCAGCCCTACTTTCTAGAAAAGGAGCTTAGGGAGGGCGGTGGGGGGGCTCCAGGTGTCCTGCCACCCAGAGACCCTGCAGGACAGTCCCACAGGGAGTGACAGCCAGGAGCCAGCAGGGGCTTGAATTTCACTCCCAAACCGCAACCCGTGGGGGGGGAGAGGGGCTGCCTCTGCCTGCGAAAGTGCCAGAAACCTGGGGGAAGAGACGGGGTCGGTGCCCAGCCCCAGCTACGTCCCCACCCCTTGAGGCACCTAGCGCAGAACCGCCCGAGCCTTCCCGCGGCGGCTTTAGGTTGAGCAAAGGCCAAATTGCCCAGTTGGGGCAGAGAGGACAGGTCTCCGGTGGGCGGCTGTGTTGGCACCAGTGGGTCTTTGTGGCTGACCGGTTGGCCGCGCCCACCCACGCCGAGGCAGCAGTGGGGTCCCGTGGTGTCTGAAGATGGTTTGCGGGGCAGGTGTGGTCGTGGCCCCATGTGGGGGCCGGTGTCCCCTGGAGGGACCCCCGGGCCTGGCTGTGTGTGGTGTCCTGTCTTGCCCTGAATCTAATGACCCAGGAGCACACAGTCAGCAGGGATATGGGACAGCTGTGGGTGGGGGAGTCAGGACACTTGTCACACCCCTGAATGAGGACAAAAAAATGCCAGCACTACAAAGGAAATGGCATCCCGTCAACAGGGCTCGTGGCTACAGCACACCCTGGGACGTCTCGGAGAAACAGGCTGGGCCCTCCGAGGGCGAGGGCGGCCTCCTCTCCCCGGGGGGACAAACAACGTCCCCTGTGTCCCCTTCACTGCCGAGCTGGGGGCGGCATCTGAGCTCTCAGAGCTGGGGGGTGGTGGACACCATCTGGGGCCCGGGGTCTTCTCAACCAGGGGGCCTGGCAGGCTCAGCGTGCTGGTCTACACCGAGACCCGGGAATGGTCTCCTCCGGCCTGCTCTGGTTTTCGGGGGTGTGGGCGTGTGTGCGTGTGCGTGCGTGTGTGCGTGTGTGTGAGATGCCCAACAAGCCCAGGAGAGCCCAGAGCCATAGCGCAGATTGTGTAACTCCCTGAAAGTGGGAAACGGAAGGTTCTAGAAGGGACTGTGGTCAGCTTTGCTCTCTCCTAAGCTGCAGCAGCCGCACAGGACACAGTCCAGGCCTGCCTTCCATCCCTCCTTCCTCTCTCCTCGCTGTGCTGGTCCCCAGCCCGCTCCTGGTGACACTGCTGGCCCTTCTCCAGGGCTGAGGGGACCGGGGGGCCCCTTCCTGGAAGCCCACCTACAGCCGCCTGCTGGGAAGGGGCCTGCGCGCCCCCCCGCCCCGCAGCCGTTTCCTGGACGCAGGCACGGAGGGGATCCTGGCCCTTGTCAGCACTGCGCCTGCAAATAAAGCATTCACTGTGCTCCGGTCCGCGGGGAGCCTGCTCCGTCACCCAGCCCCTGCTGGACACCCGCAGGCAGCGGGTCTGCGGGGAGCAGCTCGGGCTGGGCCTGGACCGGTAAACACACCCAGCGCCAGGCCCTGGAGGCGCCTGCTGCCTCCTGCGCAATGCTGCGCTCCAGAGCACGTGCCAGGCCCCAGGGTGTGAGCCCAGCCGTGGGCGCAGAGCACGCTCCGGAGGAGGGGGTGCCGCGCAGACCCCAGGAAGAGGGGCTGGCAGGTCCCCGGCAGGGACGGGCTGTGGGTCCCACGCTTTGCAGAAACCTCCTGCCTGGACAGAAGGTCCAGAGGGAGATTCCAGGGGCTGGAGCCACGTGGGGGTGGGGAAGCCGGGCAGAGCATCCTCCGGCAGGTGGGAAGAGAGGAGAGGCCCCAGACAGAGTCCTGAAGCCCCTGGGGTGCGGCCCGAGGAGGGAGGAAGTGTGTGAAGACCAAGCTGGAGTCGTGGCTTTCTGCACTGAGGGACAAAAGAGGGAGGCAAGAAGGCGCAGGCTCTGGGACCTGGCCAGCCTCCCTCGGGAGCCTCGTGCCCACAGGTGTCCGACTCCTGGATCCGGGCAGGCTGCAGGTCGGGGCCGGGAGCCGGGAGCAGAGAGGGGGCCTCGGATGCTCCCAGGAGAGACACCAATGGGGGGAGGAGATGGCCCAGGGGTGACCCTGGGAAGCCATGATGGCAGCCGGGCCACGAAGGAGGAGCAGTGGCCGGAGGGGCCGAGGGGCTTGGGGGCCGGGCTCTGGGGCCCCGTGTCTGGGCAGAGCCCCTCCCCAACACGCTGTCCCCTGCAGGGCATGCGCTGGGCCTTGGGGTGGCCAGACGTGCAGGGCCAGGGCCAGGGGAGAAGCAGGGCCCCAAGGGACACTGACAAAGACTGGCTTATTCGGGTGGCATTCGGGCCGTGCCACGTGCGTGGCGGGGCCCATGGAACGCAGAGGCACACGCACAGCCCGACGGGCTCCCCACTGGCTGGCGGTGACATCACCCCTGTGTCAACACTGCGACGCCCACAGGGTTTATGGCGCGGACCCACCCTGCCGGGCCTCACCCCGCCCCGGCCCACACACTGGCCCACTGTTCGGGGGTCTGGGGCGGAGGCAGCACCACGTGTCCTGGCGCTGCCTGCTCTTCCGCCCACCTCAGCTTCCTGGCACCGCGGCTGCCCCTCTGAGCATCTGACCAGAGAGCGCGGGGGCTGCAGGCCTGGCCTCCCCTCCGCCCCTCTGGAAAGGGGCCGGGAAGCCCTGTGGCCAGAGTGTCTTGGGGCCCGTGGCGCAGGCGCGTGGGTTTATGGGGCACAGAACTGCCTCTAAAAGGGACTCAGGCCAGCGGAGAGCTCTGGGAGGGTGCCGCGGCCCCTTGCACATGGGGCGGCCCCTCACAGACCCCTGAGAAGCCAGCAGGGCCCCCT